GATCAATTTTTTTTCAATTTATTTTAATCAAAAATAAAATTAAAATTTTATAATTTTTTCATTTATAATTAAATAACGTTTCGGGTGTATGGAACGTCTTCTTCTTCAGAAACTGTTAAAAACAAAAAAAGAAACGTTTTTTATACATGTATACAACTTTTAGTTATTTTTATTCAAATTAATTTAATTGAATTAAATTTTTAAAAAAAATTCGCTAAAAATTAATACTTATTAAATCTATACCCATTAAAAATTATATCAAAGTAAAAAAGAACTAGAATTTGTTAAGAAATGATGAATTTGTTTATTTTCAAAAAAATAAACAGTGGGTAGAAAACTCATCTGAGAAATATAATAATAGAATTAGTCTTATTTAAATAATATAGAGCCATTAATAAGACTTGTCTTAATATAAAATTAAATCAATCAAATAAATTTATTATGAAGAAAATAAATTACCATTTGCTTTTAATTCCTCATTAAGTTCTCATAGGAAATTATGATGCAGTCTTTGAATATTTCTCTCAGAAACTTTGTGATACATTTATAAATTATATATGAATAGTCCTATATACATATTTATGTGTGTATGTATGTATGTATGTTTATGTATGTGGTGTGATATATCTTTTTCATAGTAAAATTGCATTAGTCAGAATCGTTTCTTGTGAATTTCAATTTCGAAAAAGATTTCATTCAAATGAGTGTGCATATATATTTATATAGAATAGAGAAAGGTCGTCGTTGAAAACCATATAATAAATAGTTTTACTCTTTCGACTTCGGAGAATTTACAACTTTATATTCCTGAACAGATTTATACAGTTGATTGATATTTTTAAAAAAAAAATATTTTATATTATAGTTTGTTCGATTGATCGATAATAATAACCTTTTCTTTCGTCATCTACTTAAAATAACTATTTTAATAATAATAATGTAACTATTTTAAGTCCACTCAAAGCAGTGCGCTTAACGTTACGCCATGGAATAGCATCTTATATATATATATATATATATATATATATATATGTAGGAAATAGGGGAATACTTACATAAAAATTCTATTTTTTTTGGGAATGCTCTTATATTATTCCATACATTTAGAAGTAAAATGTTATGTCATCATCAGTGGAATCAAAAAATATAGACCAAATGTGTGAACTCTGAGGAAATTTATATATATGTATATATATATATATATATATATATATACATATAGTTTAATATTGTCTCTATGTATATAAGGCAACTAATTCAAAAAACTTGTTTTATGGCAATCTGTTGGTGTCTCAGTGGTCATTTGAATATGTGAGTCATTTTTAACATTTGTTAGTGTCTGTATCTTTATAATAAAATGTAAATTGTGCAAATGTGCAAACGTTTGTATGAGTTTCTGAACCCACGCCCGACCGGTCGAGAGTAGCAGATAAAGTTGAAAAAATATATAAATATAAATATAGGAGATTATTGCACCCACGACACTTTCCAGTTTCACAACACAACAATATATATACACAACACAGCACACATTATTATGGATATAAATTTGAATTAACGTAATATATAAATATATACGAATATAATCTTTGACTGAAGAGAACGAAAAAAGACCTTAGGAAACAAGTCTTAATCGAGGAACCAATTCGCTAATTTTATGTTTTATTAAGGGGGTATTCTAGTGTAGAAATTTAAAAAAATCGATTTTTTTTTATTTCATATTTTCAAAGTTTAACTATCTAAGAATATGGGTACAAAAAGGTTTTTAAAAATTTTAATTATTTTCGGGGATATAGGCATTTTATTGACTTGGTCTCCATACTGGTTTGGCTTCACGCAAAACTTTAAATGCGTTTTTCTCAGAACAGAATTTTTCACTACTGTTGACACGATTTCTCGAGTTTTAATCGACCGATTCACATGAAATGTTCAGAGAGTCTTGTTTATAGACCTATCTATAGCCCGAACTAGGATTATCCCCAAATTCCAATTTTTACTATTTTTAAAAAATTCGAGAAACTCAAAAAACAGTAAAAAAACACTTTTTTTCAAATAGTCACCAATTTGTAAAAAAAATTTTTTTACTCATTGCTAGTTCGGGCGATTACGACATCATTGTAGATTAATAATCTTAGGCTAGGAGGGCTGAAATCATATCAAGACTGAGGTGCCAATTTTTTTGAGAACCCCTACTACAACAGCTGCCAGTTTCTTCAATTTTCAACTTTTTTTAAAATTTTTGTATTGTATTTTAATAGTATTAATAAACAAGTTGTAAAAAATGGATGGTAAAAACATTCATTGCGATACTTTAAAAATGACCTAAAATTCATCGCTCTACCCTAGAATACCCCCTTAAGTCAGCTTAGGGGGCGTCCATTAATCACGTGAACGATTTTTTAGGAAATTTTTAACCCCTTCCCCTGTATGTGAACATCACTTGTATTTTCGAATTTACAAAAAAATTCGTAATATTTTTTATTTTTTTGAAAATTTAGGTAAAAGTTAACTACGTGATAGATCCCTCCCCCCACGTGCGATTCGTCTTTTATCAAATTTCGATTTTTTTCGAACATTTTTGAAACATTCGGATATTTTTTGAAAGGATTGAAAACAATTATCTTCAAAAATTATGAAATTTTTTTGAGCTACTTGAATTTTTTTGTAAATTCAGATATTTTTAGATTTTGTTTTGAACATTTTAAAATTTCTTGAAATTTTTGGATACTCAATCATACTGATTGGTAAAAATTTGTAAATACTTGATTGCTATATTATTACCATTAATAAAAGTGATGTTTTGGAGCAGGACGTTCTAACTGATCAATCCTATAATTTTCTCACTGATACCTAGTTATTATATTAGTTGCTCCATTTTTGCAAAAGAAAGGATGCCCTACATGATTTATTTTGTAGTATGCTATTATAATCGACCATTCGAGAAAATCTTTATTTTATAAGTTAAGATTACAAAGTATAATCTTATTCTAAGACAATCTTATCCTAGAATATAATCTTATATATAAAAATGGATCGCAAAATGTGTTGGTAAGCGCATAACTCAACAACGCCTGGACCAATTTGGCCAATTCTTTTTTTAAAATATTCGTTGAAGTCCAAGGATGGTTGTTACGGCGAGAAAAAAACGAATAATTGCCGGGAAAACCCTAGAAACAGCCCTTTTCTTCTTTAATCGAGTAGGCAATGCAATTTGTAAACAATGATCTATGTCATGACATTTTGTGTAGTTTTTGATAATCTAATTTTGAATATATTTATATAAACATAGAAATATCTTTCAATTAATCAAGCTTTATTGACAGCCAAAAACATTGACGTAAATTAATTAAATTTCAAAATTCAAGAACAAATTACAGGCGAATCAGTTGATTCGGCAACTAACCAAAACGATCCACCGGAGTTTTTAAACTTGCTGGATTTGCTAGGATTGTCACCTCACAATCTTCAATTAAAGGTTGGATCGGCAATTATAATGTTGCAAAAAATCGACCAACTATATTCAAAGGATAGTATAAAGCAGAAGATGTTCTCGCACCATGCATCCCAATGCGTTTCCAGTGCGTTTATAGTACAATTAACTGTTTGTGGTATTAATTTAGAAAACCCATGTTTCTCACATGGAAAATTGTATGTTGTTTGTTCCCGTATTGGAAAACCATCAGATTTGTTTGTCTATGCGCCAGGAAATCAAACAAAAAACATCGTTTATCACAAAGCACTACAATGAAAATTGAACTGATTTTTGAATTGTGATTTACATTATTAAAATTACTTACTTTCAAATGCTTATAGTGTTTTTATTTAATTATTTTTAATTCACACCAATTATTACCAGGGTGACGGTTCTGTTCAGGATAATTTTTTGCAAAGAATAGAAAAAGGTAGGCACAAACACCGCCACATTACAATTTTTTTTGACAGGGCGAAAGTCTGTCGGGCCGGCTAGTTTGAAATAAAATTAATGCAATTTAGTAATCGGGTACTTGAAACTAAATTTGGTATTACAATCATATTATGTCATCGCTACTTTCCACATCCACGTGTCTAATTAACCCTTTTGAACGCGGATTTTGTTGTGAGGCCTTGATAGTAGCTCCATCCAACAAGAGTAGTTAAATTCAGAACATACACGCATCCACGCATCATTTGATCTTTGTTCAGATCTCGCTCTGACACAATTTAAGCAATCTACCACGCTGTTTTACCTGTCATTACCTTTACGATTTATCATTTTGGGAACACGTCCAAAGTATTTTATTTTATTTATTTTAATTGCAAAAGTTAATATATGTGTTGATATCTGTTATAATTAAGAATTATCGTCAAAATCAAATAATGTCAAGAAAAAAGAATAGTAAAAATATTAAAGAATTAGAAGATGAAATTCCATCTAATGCAGATGTTAAATAACCTCTAAAACTTCCACGGCTAAATCGAAAAAATCGAAAGGTAAATCAAAAAAAGATGGTTGGGGTGACAGTGATGAAGAAATATCCCATAAAAAGATCACTGAAAAATCAAAACCAGAGGAAGAAGGGTCTCTTGATAAATCAAAAGCAAATTCAATACCAAGTGGTAACAAAGGCCCCAATAAATCTAAAAAGAATAAGAAATCCAAAAAAAATGACGATTGGTCGGATGACGAAGCTGATCAAGAGTTTAAGTTGCCATCAGATGATGAGGAACCCGTGATTGCTAAACCAGTACTTAAGAAAAAAGGTAGATTAATTAGCATTGGTTGTTTAAAAAATGCATCTTATATAGAAATATTATTTTGCTACTTGTTTTATAGGAAAAAATAAGAAAATTGAAGATGATTTATCAGATCCAAAAGAAGATTCTGAAGATTTATCGGACATTGATGAACAATTGCCCACAGATTTGGCAGGTGATAATATTTCAAGTTTAAACACTGTTATTAGCAATATGTTTCTAAGTTACTACTGACTCAAGACTTCATCACAATCAAAGACATTATATTAGTTTGACATAGTTTTTTCTGGCTTATGAGAAATTATGCGTGTATTATGCATTAGCATACACGTAACCCCGTATCACACAGTTCTTACGTTTCAAAAACTAACGTGTTATGCAAAATCTGTTATACAGGATAAAGAACTAGTACAAAAATAGGGGTTACGTTTCCAGAATTAAAAAAAAACATGCTACATATTGATGTTTCTAAGAAGTAAAACACATTACATGAATCATATCATATTTTTTTGGTCATAACTAACAATTAAGTGCTACTCAACGCGATTTTTTAGCAAGATATCCTCATCTTCTGAGCAGTTTTCTTTGTACTACCTTTGCATAAAATAATATTTGTGATTACTTGTTTTTAGCAAAATGATATTTATATATTTTACACATGCAAATATATCTTTATCAAACTTTTATACTCATTTAATTCAAAGGATCTTTGAAGAAATTATATAGTTTGGAATATCCTAGAATAATAAATCTCAAATTACTTATCTTTTGCACTAGTTTTACCATATTTATTGAGGTATATTGTACAGCAATTTAACTAATT